ACGGGGGAACGTCGATGGCAAAGATAGCCGATGGAAAAATCGAGCCTGTAGGTATCCCCGTGAGACCAACTCGGATGGAAGAATACGTATAACGTTGAACGAGCCAGCTTTTTTCCCCATCGTGCTACGTCACATGACGTTTTGGAAGGGAAAATGATATAGGTTAAAAATACGTGAGTGAAATTTTTCAAGAGGTACCAGAGCCCACCGGAAATACAAAGTCGACTTCGTGTCCCTGAACGACTTCGCATGGTACCACCTACCGGATGAGAAAGGCAATCCTTAAAACGTTTTCGCGAAACCATTATTCTGAAAAGAAATGCAATTTCTCGTCTTTGCCTTTGCTAAAAAACGCCGCCACAATACAGAAATACCTTTTAAATTTTGTACATTTCGGTACAGTATCGTATATTAGAAAATTTGGATCATTCAAGCTATAATTTTACAATGTTAATTTTGTTAGAATTGTATTGCATTAACGTAATATGTTTATTAAAGTTCGATTAAGGTTAAAGGTTGTAACTAGAAGCGACGTTAAAAACGAGATGTTGATTAATGTTAGTAGATATCCCTTTGAGATACACTCCCATGGGAATACTGAGAACGGAAAAATTCAAACGTCAAAATTCTCATAAATTATGGGCACGTGAACTGCATTTCTGTCATCATGCCCCGCTCTTGTTACGGTTCTAACAATAAAACCGGATTAAAATATATTGAACGCTACATTCAAGGTTTTATACATTAAAAGTAAACCCGACAACTCTTTTCTCGTGTAAATTACAGAACAAGTATACTTGTAAAATGAGCACAGTCGCGCTTTCGTTGTTCTACCTGCATTACATGACACGAGGTCAACGCGCACACAGGATTTCATTATTTCGCTCCGGTCCACCGTGAAAATACTTTCGACTTTTCGAGACAGAGTAAATAGGACGACAGGGATTAACAGGATTTTCTTTAGAATTAGAATGACGATAGTTCGCTACAACTACTAAAAACTTCCCTCGTCATTTAATTACTGAAGTCACTCCGACGTTTGCCACCATATCGCGTGCACGTCATTTAGGTTTATTGCCGCTCCTTTCTCGTAAAGATTCGAGTAGGTTTCTTCGACCAACCGTGGACTACGTTCCACGTTAGAATACATTCGACACAAGCTAAATTCTTGGTTCCAAGGATATACACAAAAATATTTTCAATACTACAGACCATATTTTTGTTACTGTTGATACCGTTGATACTATTGTCGGTGCACATAAGGCGCAAGTTGCACCTTCTTGGTGGCAATACAAAACGGAAAATCGTTTAAACCGAAAGTATACGTAGTGTCGTGGACGCAGAATCGCCTAAGTTTGATGTCATCGTAGCGATTGTGCATTATTGCACAAGTCTAAATGGCACTTCATACGCTGCTGTGACCTTCCTGGGTGTAAACGTATAAACTATTCCTTGGTGGAAGTTTGGGCGCAGTAACATCAGAGATGGAGTTCGTCGAAGTTTGTGCGAGCATCAGCGAGAGTTTAATCGACGACTCAGTTAATTGGCTGCAAGGGTTTTATAATTAAATTTGCTTGTACCTCTTTAATGCTGTAAATTGCGACGAAATTGGAACGCATTATCGGCTGCTAGCCCCGCCGGGACTTCTCGTTTTAGATCAGTCATTTTTTACAGCTAAAACTGTTTAATATTAATGGGTGGTAATATAGGATTTAAAATGTGAGAATGATTTCAATGACTATCAGTATTTAATCGATTGAAGGAAAGAATAAAGAAAGTAGGCTCAGATTTCTCTCGTCGACTTGTCCACGACAAAGCTCGAAGAAAAAGACGGAATCGTAACAACACCGACAAGGAAGCTGTAAGAGGAATAAAAACGTGTGCCATACTTTTACGAGTCTTCCCTACTTTCGCGAGTAATGTGCGAGGCATATGGTACTGTGACGGCTGTTACCCCTTTACGGCTTTGGCTGGCCTTTTCTAACTCGGTGTCCTCGGTATTCCCGCCACGCGTCCCGAAATCACCGGCTGCTAAAAACGTGCATGCGAGACGAGAATGCCCGCGCTTTAAACGACGACGCTATCTCCCTAGCGAAACGCCTATATTAAACAAGTGTTCGGGTCCGCGGCGTTCCCGTCGATATTGGCAGCGAGAACCGGAGGCGCTAAACGCGAGAGCTAGATGATGTCGTAACGCAGGGAGTTAGCATAATTCGATGTGCAGTTCGAGTTGCGCGGCTTTTTCCGAATATCCCTGGCCGCGGTGATTCATTTTAATGCGTGACAACGCTCGGCGGACGAGCTGTTATCTTTATCGGAAACGAGGGGTACGTTAGCGGGTAGCGAAACTGATTGAAAATTCTCGCGCGTTATTTCGAAACGTGCCTCGGTAATTTCGAAAGTTGGAGCACAGTTTTCTTGCTGTTCCCAACACGGTGTATATACTGTCTTCCGAAACGGCTCTCGGTTACGATACGTGTGCCATGTGTTTGACTTTTGAAAACGGTCGTAAGTTGGAGAATTTAGAAGAATACACGCACGGAGGCCGACGATCAATAGTTGCACCGTAAAGGTGGCTGGAAAGTTGATGTTTTAAATTTCGCGGAAATCGAACAATTTTTGTCAATAGGGTAGTAATCGAATACCTAAGAAATATGGTCTGTTCTAAATACCTCATCCTGTATATCCATGAATTTTTCGATCTATTTTTTAGATCGCCTCATATAAATCTCTGTAGCTTTCACAATTCCAGTCGACGAAATCCTCAGACCATAAATATACTCGTGTCTGTTAATGGAATTCTTCCGCAAGTATTAATCAAGTTTGCAAATTCCAATTAGAAATCAATTATCGACGTTTATTAACAGTTTTCGGTGTTTATCGATAGTTATTGACAGTAATAGAGATAGATAGTTATGTATATTTACGCATAATTACCACTATGTTGGGGTATCGGAGCATCCAGATATTATTGGATTACTGATTTGCTGATATGTTGTATCAGTTTATTGGTGCATCCGTGTATCGATATATCGATGATCCGATGACGTTCTATAGTGGTGCATGCAGTGCAAAAAATATTGAGCAACCATTGGAAAAAGTGCTCAAACATAATATTCAAAACAAAGATAAAGATGATTAAAATAGTAGTTTGTTAGATAACAATAATTTATTATGCATTTACTTGTAAAAAGTATGTTTTTAATATTCCCTACCACATGATTTTGGTATTTAAGATACAAACTATCTATCTTAGTAACTATCACTCTTAAGGTTGAAATGTCATACGCGTGTTTCGTGTAGTTTAAGTCTATTTAAGGTGCCCGGGCTCGTATCATGGTTTATTGATCGCGATTCGCCGAGCTTGTGTCACTGATCATCAATCGGAGCTCTTTTAATTGTCGTTGTTAATTGGGCTGAACAATTAAAGCAGCTGTGATTGGTGATCAGTGACCCATGGCATGAGCTCGGTGAATGGAAACCGATGGCCCATGACATGAGCATAGGCACCTTAAATAGACCTAAACTACAGGACGCACACAATTATCAGTGCGTCATCCGACCTTTGAAGAAACTAGCTGCAATGTTTGCGAAATGCGAGAGAAACGTTTCTTTCTATCCAGAAGAATTAAAATAATAAGGTAATAATTCTAATTTTTAAAGCGGGTCCGAGGTAGGCAAAAGGTTAAGAATCGCTTTGTGAAAAGATATAATGTTGTTGCTTAGACATCGTAAAAAGTTTGCTTGTTTATTAAGCAAATATTGCGCTGTTTGCAAATATGTTCTCTGTGGGAACATTAATTCCGAGAAAATTGAGTAAATCTAGATTCTAACGCCCTTACGCGTCCGTATCGTCGTCGAAGTGGTGAATCTTTTGACTTTCACTGCTTTCAGCAGTCAATCGGTTCACCAACGATATCTTCGGGGTGTTCTCCGCGCAATCCTGTACCCAAAGGAAACACGATCCGGCAATATTCTGGAAATACGGTAGAATGAATCTTTCCCTGAAGCAGCGTTTGTACCACTCGAGCTCTTCCCTCTTTGAAGCCTTCTGCTCGAGCAATTCGTCGAATTTGATCGATTTTCGTGGCGCCGTCACTCTCGGTTCTTCCCACTGCTTCTCAAAGCCGCTTCTGTACGTAGCTACATCGATCGTCTTTTTGATGCCGAACGCCAAATCGTTTAAGACGACCTCCAAGTATTCGTACCGTGTCTTGGCCTCTGTATGCGTGTCTTTTTCCTCCCCGTTCGCGGCGGTGCATGGTTTAACCGTGCCGGTAACCAACTGAAGACAATTGAACTTTTTAAGTCGAGGAACTTCCCCAGGGACGAACATGTTTCACCCTTTGCACTCGGAGACTTTTCTTTGATTATCTATCAGCAACTCGAGCGCACTTTCTTACAAAATAGTAAAAACTCCAAGAAAACTTATTTTTTTTTTAACTTTGTGCTGAATTTTTTGTTAGATTTAAGATACACTGTATTTAAATTCATTTACGTTGGGAAATTTATTCAAAATTTGTTCTATTTAGTAATTTTTTTACGAATATAAAACTGTTTAATAGTAATTTAACTATATAAATAAACTACATATTTAATCCACGCGAATCCTATGTATTGGGGAAAACCGTATTTAAATTTGGTTCAGCTGAGTGCAAAGGGTTAAAATTCGACACCTAACGTAATCGACAATCACAAAGGATAAATTAAGAAGAACTTCGAGTGAAAAGAAACGATAATTTGAAATGCAAAATATCGTTTCTTTTCATAGATTCTAAACATTTTGCATGCATAAGATTGTATATCCTTTAAAATCGTCGATTTACCTTCGTGTAGTTTTATTTAGACTTTTTATTAATCATACGACGACGTTCCAATCATTTTGATTAAAAAAAGGAAGAAGCATTCCGGAACGAAGATAATATAGATTAGTTGAATAACTTAAGCGATGCGAACGGTGATAACTTTGCATATTATGCAAAAGAAAGACGGTAGCTGACCTAGTAATTTAATTGGAACATCTGGCAATAGTTTCGTAAAAAGAGCATTAATTCACTAACGGACATCCAATAGCGTCCGAGTGCTCGTTGGATATCGATCACTGCGTTCCCACTTGGTTCTTTGAAGCTGTATAAAACGCGTACATTCAATAATTTTGGAACAATCATTTCATCGGTCATCAACGGAAGATCATTAGTATTCTCCCAAATTCCATCGCCATTTTTTCCGAATGGAAATAGCCAGTCGTACGGTATCGAGTAGGTACTCCGTATTAAATCTCTTCTGTCAAAATTTGTTGGCCTCAGTTTCCGTTCCTAATATAAATACAACAATGATAAAAGAACACTTACGATATAGATACGTGCCTGATATTATTTATTATTCGAACGAAAATCAATACGTATGAAAATTTAACAAAAGTTAGGAGAGCTTAAAATTATAGAATTTCTTCGATTCTCTTAGTGTTAATAATAAGTTACGCTAACTACTGTTTTTCTCATTTTTATTCGTTTTATCTTGGAATAAAGTTAGTTATTACCGTTAGAACAAACGTTCTCTCTAATTTTACACGAAGCAAAGAACGACGCGTCTCTGTTGCGTTCTTTTGACTTTTTTGGCCAACTCGTCCTAGTAAATGGAGAGAGCAGACTCTCCGTTAGTTCCTATCGCGGTCCCGCAAGTTTCTTTGTCTGTGACTTAAACTCAAAGACTACTTTGTCGAAGTATGCATTTATGAGAAGACAGGGTTTAGGAAATGAGCAGCGCCGGAACGGCTGGCCCGATTATCTAACCTGAAACGATAGCAGGGCCTTTGATCGTGACTCAGGTTTCGCTGCCTCAAATGTAATCAGACGACGAAGTTCCGGTCGACGTGAAGTTGGATACAAAATCACGCTCGTCTCGTTATCGAAGACTGCTGCCAGCTCCGCCTGGTTCCTCACGGATCGATGAAGGTACTCGTAAGCCGTCAGATCCCGATTCATCGAAAACAGTCTGTGTTGACTGGTCCTCGTCCTGACGCGGAGACTCTCGTGATCGCAGCCGCGCTTACGCTCGAAATTTTCGTTTTCGCCCGACCCTTCGTCCTGTGTACCCTCGTAACTTTCATCCTTTATATTTGATACGCGAACGTCCACACACGAGCCGAATTCTCGACATCCGGACGGCTGCCTTTCCCGACGATAACGCGTCGTACCGTCGTTCATGACTTCGAAGATATTTCCGCAGACGTCGATGGTGGTGAATATGACGGCTGGCGATTCGAAAGCGAAGAAGTTGTAGGTGGACGTTGACTGGCTGCCGCAAGTGGTGCACACGTTGCCCTCGAATGACAGACCATGCTCTTCGATCTAGTAGAAATTCGTTCCTTTTAAAACGCTGACACTTCTCGATACACGCGCTTATTCATTTCCTTTCATATTCACATTTCGTCCACGGTCATTCCGAATGGGACGACTCGATCTCGTATCTCGTAAATACGACTGAATTTTAGCCACGATTATTATTCCATTTGTGTTCTTTTACAATTGGAGAAATCAGGCACTCGTGATATAAAAATAGATTATATACAATATATACAATTGCTTTTAAAACGATTGTAGTTCATTGATCATCACGTTTGACATTATGTCTCGTGGTGATCATCATTTAATAAAAGGTTTCGAAATGCGTAATATTCTCTGGGACGTGAAATATTCATAAACCTTGGCTTTCTGCAACTAGCACAGCCAGTAATTAATCTAGCGACGAGGTATGCCATGAAAATTACCAAGGATATTTATATTACCATCATGGAAACGAACTGTTTACAGGTTGTAAACTGAATAACCCTCATACAGAAGTCTCTTTGACTTTCAAAGGCATTTGGAGTAGGAGCGAAGTACTGAAAATTGTGTTTCGGAGCATGAAGGAAATTTGGTGGCGCAAGGGCCATGGTGACACAGGTTTCGAACGATGCAAGGAAAGATTGGAGTTGAAGTAGAAATGTTTGTGTTAAGAAAACACATTTAATTAAAAGGGACTGTTTCGTTGTACGAGAGACAGACCAAAATGCAGCTAATTCGAAGGTGTCTTACGCATTAGTAAAAATACAGTGATGTTTGATGTTTGCTTGTCACAGTCAGGAAAAAGTTGCTCGATAATCTAGCAATACGTTTCGAAAGTAAGCCGGTGCACGCTAGTTCGACGAATACTTTATCCGTAAAACGTCACTTTAAATGGAGTTTCTTACGGGAGAATCCGGAAATTACGATTTAAAGTATGTTTCAGTATTCGAAACCCTGGTATTCCCCGGTATTAGATATCTGCTTTCAGACGAATCTCATCTCGTGGATTTCGATTACCTTCAGATTAACTCCGTCCGCCATCGAAACTTTGTAATGACCTCTTCTCGATATGCTGACTCGAAGATCTTCGGGCATCGATAGAGTGCAACTAACTGCTGACTGATCATAAAACACCGTCGCGTAGTTCTTGTGCTCCGCGCGACATGTCAACAGAACAGAGACAAAGCTGTCCGCGATCAATATCCCTGTGATGTCCTCGTCGTATTCCGCGAACTGTCTCGAAGAAGCCTCCTCGTGGAATTTAAGATTCGAAGACGATGCACCCTCGAATCCCTCCCCTTCTCCCTCTGTTCCGGCGGATGTAAAGTATCGTAGAATTTCTTCCTCGGTCCAGTCACACATCACTGGTTCCTTTTCTATCATGTAACCGGTTGTTATACGCGTACCGTCTGTAATGTGCAAAAGGAGTGGCAACAAACATCAAATGTTACAAACTAAATACAATATAAAGTATGTAGAATCGGTTGCGAGGTGATCGGTAAAGCATCCTTGGCCTTTTGTAGTTTAATGAGTAAATAATACATTTATTGAGAGGAATTTTATTAAATTTAAAGGCATGACAAAATATATAATTGCATAAAAATAAATATATATTTTGTTAGTCTAGCTATTAACATATTTAACCCGTAATAAGTAAAAGCTAAATTGACTTGTAACAACTGTGACTGAAATTCACGAATAAGGGCAATACACTTCCATTAACATCGGTTCATGAAAATGAAAATTTTCCGTATAACTTTCTACCGGTTTTCCTTCTGATTTAAAATGAATGTACGTTACAGGCAACCATATAACTACTTTTCTGGAAGTTCCTCGGCCAGTTCAAGGGGTAATGAATTTAAAAGCACTTAAGGTTTCCGCAGTTATATTAAAATCGACATTATCGAAAATGGAGCAAACTCTTCTGACGGAAGAACCTTTCCATGGAGAGTATTAGATGGCATCGTAAAATGAATCAACTTTACCTGACCCACGATAGGCTCGTAACAGTTTTACAATAGCTATACAACGGAAAAAAGACGCATAATAATCGATATACGGGGTGTGACTATAAAACAAGAAGTCTGAAAGAAAAATGATACTTTATTTTAACCCTCCAGCTAGCGTTTATAGGACAGTTTATGACTGAGAACATCATTTTACCGCGATAGAACCAACCTAAGTCGAACGTGTTTCTTTTACCCTTGCCTTGTCACGATTCTGATTAGCACAATTTCAAATTACTAAGTGGTAAACACGAGTATTTTAAACTATAAAAACTTCTGAAGACTATAAATGTGTGAAATATAATAGTAGCTTCTTCTTTATCCATTTTAGTCATATTGTTATACATGTTGGTTCATAATCACATCTCGCGAATAAGTCCATCTACTACGATCATTTGATTATTATTTCAATAACGATGGACTTGCGTCGAAATCGTGAATTTCCCCGGTTGGCCAAGCAGAACATTTGAAGGAAAAGAATCATTACGATGAGTACAATCGACGAGCTTCCGCCTGGCGCGAGTTTCTCGAATGTTTGCAGAAACTGTTTCAACGAGCAAACAAAATACCGCCGAGATGAGGAAAGTTGAGATGAAAGTTTATGAACTTGGCTTTCGCATATGTTACGCGAAAACAGTTTACGCGACGCAAGGCGTGAATCGTTGCATAATTTTACCATACCGCGAAAAATAAATATTTACCGTCGAAAGACTCGACAATAGCAAATTGTCGTTGAAATGTTTAACAGAAGTTTTAAAACGCGTTGAATTGTTGGAATAATTCTATAGATTGTTTAATGCAAGATCTATTTTGTTAAATCGCTGCAGTATGTACCGAGAAAGAGTAAACTTTCGTGCAAAAGTAATTAAAAGTATCTACCTAATTATTCTAAAAGGGAAAAATTTATTCTGTACCTTATTTTTTCGTAATGAATTGTTTTTTTGACGACTTCTTCGTACAAGTTCATTTCACTTGAAGAAACTTTTACGTTTAAAATTGCATTGGAAATTTACATTTGTCAATATTACTTTCGGCTGCATTTTATCTTTTAAAACGCTGTGCAGAATATTTTTAAAAATTGTTCGAATGTACGACTGGAAAGTACATCATAAAAGCAGTAGCCAGTTTCCTGGACTGCATAGTGCGTCGAATATTTTCAAGATTTTTTTGGAATACCAGATAAAAATTAAAATAATGAAGGTACTTTCTACTGAACCTCTCTTTATATTCCGCACACAACATACGTAGCAAGCCAATATAATTTTCTCTTTGTGCTCCCATAGAAACTCAACCGACGGACTTGCTGCAGCAATTTAACTTAATATTCTGTAACATGCCACGTCGAAAGTTCTAAATATTTTTTGGTATCTTGTTCTAGTAAAACGATTTTCTTATTGTAAGAACAAACAAGTGACGCTCAAATTCAAATAAAAGCAGCTTCTTTGTCTATCAATTAATTGTACCTCTGTGAGTCTCTGTGGAATTCGTTTCACTAAGCGGAAGAAACCTCGAGACTTACCGGGGAATTCGACAATCAGCTCTCCATTGGAATTCAGCAACATGTTGGTACCGTCAGCTCGACGCGTGAATTTCTCGTCGACCTCGTAGTCCGACGCTGTCCTCACGAGTAATCGATGGTGTTCACTTACGACCAAGTCGTCGAGCACCTCGTACTGTCTACCATCGTGATTCAGTACCGTGTATCCTGACACTCTGACCATGGTGTCTGTCATCGACGTACTACTGTCGTAATTCTGAGGACAAGACATGCTGGATAGGTCGGAGGAAAAGTAAATTCACAAATAGACAACGTAATCTACAGTGGCGCGTAGATGTTTCGGAACGCTTTCTAGCTCTGATTTAAATAGAGAAATACCATTCACGAATAACGAATAAAATTATTAGATCCATTTGGAAACTTTCGTTTATATTGCATTCGTAAATCTGAGTGGATTAAAATTCACACACTTATACATTAACGATTTATTAAAAAATGATCGAACACGACAATTTGATAAAAATAATAGAAAAGAAAAGTAACCAAAGTGTAGAGACGTATTTTATAAAGTTTATTATTTGAAATAGAAGCGAAATCAATCCGAGCCATCGATTTTTTAACCGTCTGCGTCTGTCAAATTTTTTCGTGTTTTCATTCCTAGCAGAGGAGGATTAAGGTACACAAAAACACGTGACTGTGAATAAACGGCATTGGTCTGCTGCATCTCTGACTAGAAATGAAACCACAAAGAGATTCGACAAACTGATAAAAAAAACTGATGACCCAGGTTAGATATAGGCTGTATTTCGAACAAATTAAAAAAAAGCACTTATGCAATTGTACACGACATTTGTTCTGATAAGTAAATTGAATCCGTGAGAAATATGTGTTCGACAAAATGCATCTTTGATCGATAAAATGGTGTCATACGTTTGAAAAAAGACTGAAAGTGATTTTTAAAATGCAATTTGATGATAAAGATATTTGGTTTGATATTAAAGTTATCGAGTTTTTTTTTTAATGGCAAACATTTCTAAAGTTCAATAATAATAAAAATAATAACGAAATATTTAAATAAATATGTGAATGTATAAAATAAGATAAAAATGTTGTGAATTTATTAAAAAGAATATATAAACGAAGTTGTTATAGCTTTAGTTGGAATAGATAAATAATTATGCAAACTAAACTGAATATTGGACCGAATATTAAATATCTGTGATCCATGATCGAATTCAGAGACGGATGACAAATTGTGTGGGGTTGTAGCCAGCCTTTGATGTCGGAGATTTAGTATTTGTCAACGATAAAGTGGACATATCATGTTCCTGGCCTTATCTAAACATATTAATAACTATTTTTGACGTAAATGTTAAAATAATATAAATTTTAGGTACATTTCAGTGCTACACTGATTACGTTCCAAAACAATTCTCATTGTCATAGAGTTAGTTATTATCAGAATAGGTAATTCACGCATTTATGGCGCATGCAAATATGAATACACATGCATAATGTGAGCGGAATACATTTATGCAAATTAAACTATTAATTTATGAAATATTTATCCACATATGTTTTGCAGATTAACACGCGTAATTAACATACGTCATAAATGCATAAAATGTATTAACCGTACTAAAATTTTTCGATTGATATTACTCTTATAAAGATATAATAAAAAATATAAGAAATGTCAATTCCTGTTTGTGTTGGTATGTTGGTACGTGTCAGGAATCAGCACTATTGCTCTGTTTTCTTGTTGGAAATTGAAACGTGCATGGATGTTAGAAATATTAGAATACGAAATTTATCTATAAATGCTGATGCATGATTATCTGTTCTTCAAACATTCGGGCACCTTTTTTAAAGGGTGAACGGTCATTGTTTTATTTATTAAAAGTTTGTTTTCCACGAATAAATAGCTTTAATCTTCCTTCGTGAAATCCGACATTTCATACGCACCAAGCTAACACGTATTTCCAACATTGGGCTTTTCATACGATTTATTCCATGACTTTACTTACATAGGTCGTATAGAAACTCGGTACGACTATCGTTGGGATTTTCAGTACTACCGAGTTGAATCATAAGTAATTGCCGATTCAGGTAGTGGATCATAAACTTTGCGGGGAATTCCAAATGACCTAGAGCTCCGTTCCGCCATTGTGCTTACCTTATCTTATGGGATTGAATAAATCCAGCAGTCAGAAAGCAGAGAGCAAGTGCTAGTACAATTTTGTGTGTAAATGGCATGGAAAAGGCATTAAAAAAAAAAACAGATTTTTCTATTCCGTATCGTTTAGATTTGCAAAGTGTAGAATTTGTAAAAAGCATAATTAAAAATAAGCTGTATAAGAACGTGTTTTGGTCTCATTTATCTATTCATACAAAAAGAATGTAAAATGGTTGAATTCTCATTCGTGTTGACATACAAATGTACATTCGGTATTGCTTTGATGCTTCATGGGATCGAATTTCAAGCCACCCATAATAGGATATATCGGACTTGGTCGCTATTACTATACCTTGCTCAATCACGGTGTTGTATCTCATTCGGTAAACCTCTCTACGAGAGATTTGCTGGTCCTGATTTTATCTCAAGAAGAGAGGCAGCACTGTATCGAATAGTCACTGAATACTGATTATTGTTGGAACTATAATCTCCCAACAGTTAGCAAGATAGGCGACATGAACGCCTTTAGACTCAAGTTTTCATAAAATATTTATGAACATTTAGAAGTTATATCCTTAATTCAGAGAGTATGGAATTAATTTTAAAATTAGTTATGACTTCTTTAAAAAAAAACGAAAAATAGCCAGCGGAATTTTGCCTTTTACAGTGCTTGAATAATTTTAAAGTAAATTGAGTATAAACGAGGAAATGTGGATGCGTTAAAAGTTCTCGAAAACCTAAATTCTTTACTTATTTAATCAGATCATTCTGGTGCCACGGTCAAAACGAAATTTAACGGTCACTTGATTCACCGTCGTTGAATCCTGCTGTGCGAGCCCAGGATTTTGCTCGACCACTCCAGGCAATTGAGACTTCGAGGACCTCGTCGGTTTCCTTTTACTTTTAGACGGAAGCTTCGATCCTCTGCTTGGTCTGTCGCCTTTGAAAACGAAACGCGCACATACCCACACAGATTTAACGAGTTCGTTTTAATCTACAAATATTTTTGCTTTCTATTACGTTCCTTCAGCATTTTTTTAATAACAATCGCATTTTTGCTCGCGTGCTTAGACTTTGAGAATTCGGAAATTTTATTTCGAAGAAACCCTTTTCCGTATTCATTTATTTATATTTTTCCGTATTTATTACCGATAAAGTTATAATACAATTTTTTAAAAATATTTATAAAACTAATTCTCGATCATTTCAACTTCATATAAGAACAAATAAAAATAATTTTGACATCTTAAAGGAATCTCACTTTATTTACAAATACGTAAATATTTCTTGGATTTTTTTGTTGAAACTATGATATTTTTGGTGATAATATTAAGCGTCTCCCTTTGTTTAAGGATAAATTTCTAAAGAATCACAGTACCTTTCGCAAAGTAGGTTTCTTCGACGGTCTTCTCGTCTTCGTTTACACGAAGCTTCTCAAAAGTTATGCAAGTCACGATATCTCCGTTAGGGCGAAGAACGATAATCTTGCCGTTGTCGAGGTACTTCAAAACGGTTCCATTTCTCAGAAACTTTCGACAAACTTCGCTGACCCCGTTGGTGCTGTTACAACCCTTTGGAATGTACGATTGACGAATGTAAAACGGATTCTCTTTACTGTCGCCGATGATCGGTTCTATCAATAATCCTGTCGGCCAAGAAGCACGAAACTCGATACTGCTGTCCGACCAATAGTTCTTGAAGGGATCCTTCGTTGTATCTAAACGCGCAAAATTTTAGAGAAAAATAATTCAAAATTGTAGGAACGTTCACTACCCATTGGAAGGGCTAAAAATTTTCTAAGACCAAGAGTAAAACTCTGTCTACTCTATTGAGTCGAAAAAAGTCAGCTATCAAATCATAGTCGTTATTTTATTATTCGACCAAATAAAATATGTCGTTACAAATTAATTTAAATTCAAAAAAAACAATTTAACAAAATACCCAATTCGATGTTACAAGAATGTAAAGTTTCTATTAAAATAAAAAAAGAAGCAAAGCTTCTTGTAATAATAAAAATTATAAATCACGAATAGGAGAAAGTTGCTCGCTTCCACGAACAACAAACATTCGAAATTTAACGGAGCCGAATAACATTACCTTCTGACTTGAGGAGTTTCTGGAAGGCAAGGATGATTCCCCTTGAACTCGTTAAATGAAACGCCGTAGAAGACTCTGGGACATCAATTCCGTGGTACAATCGTAAACTGTAGCCTCGAAGGGTAACCGTGATGCGTAAATCCTTATTTTTGTATAGCCAGTCGTCCACCTCTACCCTTACCAGAGTACCATCGTCCGAGAAGAAGGTTTTCTTACGATTGGTTACATGTACGCGTTGTTTGCCGAGGTCATAGCCTATGAACTCATAAGTCACCGCCGTTTCACCGTCATGAAAGGATGGGCTCTTTTTTGCGGTCGAGGTAGACTCCTCGTCAACAGCGGGCTTCTTCCCTTTTTGTTTTCCCTTTTTCGTAGCCTTTCTTTTTTTCCCTTTACCCTTCTTTGAACGTTCTGTTGTCTCTTCATCGGTGGAAGGAGAACGTGTACCTACGGGTAAAAATCAAATTCTACTCGCTTTATCTCGAATTACCCAAATTCTCTGTTAATCTTTTAAATTTTTTCACGAATAAACACATTTTCTATTGTAAATTAAATTTAAATGAATTTTTCCCAACACGTAGGATTTAATATCGTATAAATATCGAATGGTATTGGATACTTTGCGAATCCTGGATTGCAGGAAATGCAAGGTAACAATGTAATCCCGATAGGTGTTCAAATCCTTTAATAAATTTTATGTGCAATAAGAACATGGTACTAAGGTAAAAGTAGAGCGATGGAGGGTTCTAAACTATGAAATGTCACGTAATCTTTTACATTCTTTATTGAATCTGAGTCCTCGACTATCGTCTGTGTCGCATCCTGTTAAAATATCTCGAATTTCATTTTCTCTGTCAAGATGTGAAAATTACTTTTCGAGTTATTGCCAGGATAAAAAACATACGAGGGTATGCGTTAGGAAAATTCTTTGAAGAAGAAAAATAAAATAACGAGTCATCTCGTAGTGGGTGTCTATATTAATGGCGCTGTGAATAATTTGATCAGATAACTGCAGAATATAGTTACATCGTCTCACCCGCGTCGGACTGTTTTTCCCCCGTAACAAGTACGTCGTTCTGAAGGTCTCCAGCCTTGAGAGACCATGGTAAAATGAAGTCTTCGTCGCGGAATAGCAACGTCTCGTCGTGTATCTCTACGGCCTTCTTCATCAATCTTCCCATCGACTCGCTCGTCTGCAATCTGTAGATCTCTTCCTCCCGTCTAAGCCAATCCTCTTCCTCGGCCACGACGTATTCGCAAAAGTCACGAAGTCGGACAGGCGTTCGAATGTTAGAAATTCTTTCCTCCTCGTCCACCCCATTAACTTTCCACTGGTTTTCGAAGCACAGCAACACGGAGTCCGTGGGCTCGAAATACCGAATTTTCAAATTGTCGAACGAAAGTAGACACCGATGAAGGGACTGAAGAAAAATGGATTTCGTTAACGGCTCGACGTCGTCGAATTCGTCGAGATTCAATCCGTCCTTGCATCTCGCGTCGAAGAGGTTCTCTTTCAAATAGCCTGGTATTAACAGTTCTCTGGGATCTATCAGATCGAACAGGGGGGAACAATTGACGAGCGTTGGCAGAAATTTGCCGTAGTCGATGTTACCGTCGCTGTGAAAATTTATTTCCAGATCGAACTTCGAGCTCAGGCTGGGAGCCGATTTGCTAAGTTTCATCGAGTGCAAGGAACTTTGGAAATTCATCGAGTTCCCTGTTCCTGTTTCGTTCCTGTCTTTCGACGTATCGTTTTGTCGTCGAGGCTTCCCGAATATCATCTTGTCGAACATTAGGATATGCAAATAGTGTCCGACTTCTTCGTTGCTCATCTTAACGTCGAAGTAGCATCGAGTTTTATCGATATGACGAGAGTACTCTTCGAGCTTCGTCTCCGAGATTTCGTGTTCCGAATGTAAACTCGTGATATTTGGATGCCAAAAGACGAGCAGGATGTTGTCGATCAAGTCGGATCTACTCGGGACGTGAAAGTTTGCAGAGTCATCGAGAAGACGGATGGTCTCGTTCAGAATATCTTCGCGGAGAATTAATTCAATGTCGGTTACCGTTGGTTCCTTTTCGTTGGCATTATGTTCGTCGTCGAGATCGAATTTCACGTTAAGAGCCTTTAATTTTTCCTCGACGAACGAAACAAGCGACTGCTTCGTGTTTTCAGGTTTCGTTTCCGCGTCTGCGCTTGTCTGCGAAAAATGGTAAAACGTTGCAATTATGATAATGAAAAAAATAAATTATACAAAGCAGGGCGTTTAAAACAGGCTATTTTTGACAATTAATTATTCCTTCAATTTTCAAACACCTGTTGTCGAACGCCTTGTAGACGTCCCAACTATAAACGCGCTAAAACTAAGAACTTACCCTCTTAATAGTATTTGCATCGCCTTTCTCATCGACAGATTCCTCGTTCGAGGCTTGCTCGCTCGCCTCGATCTGCACCAGCATAGCAAACAGTATCACTGGTACGGAAACGCATTCCTGAGGTACAGCGTCCAAAAAAGTCTCGTAAGCGTTCGTGTCATGCTTCTCCTCTCTACGATCGACGATATTCTCCTCTATCCTCATGGCTTTCAAATAATTAGTATGCTGTCGATAAAGGTCGTAGAGATCGTATAGAAAATACGACACTCTGTCGTACATGTCCTTCCGAAGACTCTCGTACTGGTCGTCGTCGTAAACGTTTGGCAACTTTGGGGGACGAAAAGTGACGAACGCGACGTCGCAGAGAGCTGGATACACTTGTGGATTCATTACCCGTGTTTCGATCGTCGACCAGAACTTGAACAAGTCAAAACCACTGCTCTCGTAGCTTTCGAAATGAAGTAGACTACGGATTTCTAAAGGTTCTTTCCGCGCCGTCTCGTACCGCGCTAGGCGATCGAGCTCTTTGTTCGATCGTTTGATTGGAAGTATGAACGACAATGGCACCCCAGCACTTATTAAATGCTCCGGCAGATCCGGATCGTGAAAGCCAGAAAGAATTATGAAGAGATTCGGCCCATTCAATGGCGCATCGTCCACGTAGATCGCATCCCGCCACTCTTCGTTGCATTTTCGCAGTCTTGTGTTCGCTTTGTTATTGAATTTTTCTGCGTCGAACCCCTTAGACCTCGGTTGTCCTATCGAATTCATACTGTATAGTATTGATAATCGAAGAGCTGGCTATACAAATTTCGTGCCACTTTATATGGTAATAATTACCAACCACGAAACATGTATCTTCCAATAATTTACCAGCTGTTTGTATATTAGAAATTCGGAGAGGAAAACTACGTTCTGTCATTTTCGAGTTGTCAATTTTTTCGATATTTCTCATAACAAAATATCAAGATATCAAAGTGATCACAAGATAAACGCATAGACAAGCGAGTGGATCCATTTGTAATATCCTAAATTTAACTGCTATAGTCGAATCCATTAAAACAGTAATCTCATTAGCCTCGCGTGTACCAAGCACCTACCCCAATCAGCTACGGTCTGCATAATCTGATACTCTTCGTCTACTTCACGTTCCAGGTCAGCTAGCCTCTTCACTATGCCGATAGTGTCTTCCTTGGCTCGATATATCAAAAACTTAATGATTCGTGCTATCAGCCAGGTTGGCAGCATGCCTTTGTCCTCACTCAACACCTTGCTCGCGTAATGACAAACGCCCTGAACTGTCGGACACTTATTCAAGTCATGCTTTGACAACACTCTCACGGCGGACAGCATTTTCTGATAACTGAGAGAGTAAATGGCCTTTCGAGTGCCCTCTTCGGCGGCAATGTTGAACAGAGACACGCACTTTGAATGCTCGGTGACCGTCTCGACCATCATTGTCGCGATACACCACCAATTATCGTCATTGATCGAAATATCCTCCAACGCTGCGCGCCAGGAATCTTCGTCGATTTGCTTCTTCTCTTTGGCGGACACCTGAGACCTCGGTCGTTTCTTCCTTTTCATCGTCACAATCCTTTGACAGAGTAACCTAAAAACAGTGTTCTGCCATCACAAGTATGACACGAACGATTATCGAACAAATGACAACCCGAGAGGAATCTTTCAAGTTAGACGATCGTTAATGCAGTATCATATGTTGGGGAAACTGTCTAATTTTATTATAATAGGGACTACGAAGTAATGTTTATATCAAAACTGCGTGATATGGACTTAACTTAATGGAACAATGTGAAATGTAAGAAGGATATATATGTAGGTAATTCTAAATCTGCCAGCTTGATGTATTGTATATGTCTGCAGCAGGTGGTTCGATTCTGGACGGTGTGAACAGGATGGTGTCTAGTCGCGGACAATTCTGGTTTCATTTTCGGTTTCCTCTCGTCCGCGTCAAGTTGATTTACAGCTGATTTACAACAGCATGTCATAATGTCACGCGCGCGACACGAAAACGTCAAAACGTTACTCATCTTTAACGTGGCCGATAGTAATTGTACGTTACCAAATTTCTGATCTGTTTAATACTATTTCATTATGTTATTTTAAATTTATGTTCACTACCTAGTGCACTAAAGAAGATTAAATCGAGGATCGAAAACAGCATACTAAACGTCATTATGAACGTATTGATATTATAATTAGACTTTTCTATTTTTTTTAATATCTGGACATACCTATTTAAAAATAAAATTGGCGAGAGAGACAAATATTAAGTCAGCAAACATTCAATAGTTAATTGAAAATCAATTGTGTTGCAAAATAATAAAAATTGAATACTTTCAATAAAAGATCCAGAGCATTGTACGCAATACATGGTTTATATTTACACGTTCTACGCTCAAATATTGAATTAACACTTTTAAACTAAAACAATTAATTTTCAAATTGAAATGTTGAAGGAAATAAATTTAAATAAGATTCGCGAATTTCAGTGAAATTTTATGTTCCGTGATTCGCAATTGTTTAAAATGAAAGTGCTGGTCTCGTAAACAATTTTACGGTTTCGGTCCGACAGTCGACGCGTTAAATATTATTTCTATTAAAATTCCACGCGCACGTTGAATTTTATTCGTTACTGTGCGCGACGTTTACCGTAACGAGGCGGATGGAAAATCGAGAGTTTCGCGGGAACGATACGCTGAATAGGACGCCATCGTTAAGTTGTTAATTTTCGTCGGGAATCACGATGGGGGACGTCTGATTTCTAATGACTTCTCACTTCAGCGCGGGCTGGCAGTGATTCCGCGGCGCCGGGCGCGTAACTTGTTACATTTGATGTCTATCGCGATGGCCCCGTCTGGTTTACAAATTACGACGCCAGTTGCGAGTGGGTCAAGACTCGCGAGCTCGCGATAAAATACTACGTTCATTAATTAATTCGCCGGTGAAATATCACGGCGATGTGTCACGGTGGAAGTTGCCCCGAATCTCGCGACAGTTTTGTTAATGGACAACGTTCCCTCGCGTAGCTGCCGTACCCGCGGATCCATTAAACAGCTAGCGAGCGTCGGGAATTAAATGAAAAGAATACCCCTGTCTTTCCCCAGAGTCGCGCCGACTCGATGTACTTTTAACGATTATGAAAACATCTGACAGATACAAACGAACGCTAGACCTCGCCGTTCGAAATAAAACGGAAAAGTTCAACGAACGCCGTTCCCGTTGTTTCTGATGCCGATGACGATGATTAAGAAATCTAAAATTACGAATATCGCACTACTGTATTCGCCATTCGAGTCCAGCGTCCCTCTAAACATCCGCGGTTTCAATTTATTTAACAGACAACGCGGTCATTTTGCGAAATATCTTTTTATCGAGGAATAGATAAAATTCTTTACGAGTAAATCTATAAAATAACAAAGTGCAATTCAGTTTTAAATTATTATGAAACTAACTGTAACGATTCCTTGCTTTCTTCTACATCATAAAATTATTGATGCCTTTCACGCAAGTCTGTATTTTATTACAGTGGATCGCAAGAAAAATGGCAATGAAGTTTCATCCACAATATTCTTTCCGAGGTAAAAAAACGACCTGTCTAAGTAGATTCCGCGAACGCGTCGGCAAAGTAGCGGCTTCGCTCGAAACTAATCTGTTTCTGCGTCTGATCGGTCGAAATTCTCGTTACCTCGAACTTTTTCGAACGAGGTTTGTAAAATGCGAGGCACGACAGCGATTTCACGAGAGCGCGCGGAAACAGCGAGCGCAGTTCGCGTTAAGGAAAACTTGCGAAAGCTATGCAAAACGGTGCACGTGAAACGCTGGTTAAAAAGTATACGAAAGCGGACCGCGAAGCGGAAAGAGTTTTTTTTTAAGGATATTTTCGTTGCATGCGAATCGCTAGAAGAATAAGGGAAAGACTTAGAATGGGATCAAGAGCTAAGAAGAGATTCTGAAACGGCGGGACACAAATTTTTCACCATAATTTTCGTGTAGCTTTTCATTCGATGGAGAAACGTTTAGGCGTTTCGAGGAGCAAGAACGAACTTTTAAACATTTTTCATGAGCACGCACTGAACAAAAGGTTCTTGTACTGTTGTAAAGATATTATAAAACGCGTTTCTCTCTAAACATGCCTTTGTCGAGATCGCTCTTACTCCCCTAAGCGTTTTAATTATTCCCTTTGAGTGTATTCTAGACGATTCTGCTATTGTATTCGCTTCCGTGTATCGTTTGTTGAAATATTTCCTTATCCGGTACGAATCTCATAAATTGTTTACCACTTCTAGAATCAAAGACGACATCTTGGTTGTCTGTTGTTGGGAATGATCCAAAATGACAACGCTTCTTAATGCATAAAAAAATACTAGATAGTACAAAGAATTAATTCCTCTATTTTTCTCGGTATCCTGTTTCAGGTATAGTAAGGTAGCAAGATGTAATATTAGCGATATTTGTTGAAACGTCAGTTAGCTCGCGACTTGGTACAAAAGATTTCCTTGGAGTTTGTTTTCAGGCAACCTATTGAAACCCAATATTTATCCTCCAACGACTCGAGCGTACTTCCACGATCGTCAAACAACGACCGTCAACATCGACGTACTCGGAAGGAAACAAAGCGCAAACTTCAACCAAACGACATTTATTCCAGCCCTGCGACCCCGTATCGAAATATTTCCGTCAAACAGTCCCGAAAGTTCCTGCGACGCGTCCTGGCACGCTTTAAGGAGCTACAAATGGGAGAACGGAAGGAAATCGAACGGAAGTCGAAACGTCGATTGTCGTAGCCGAGGGAATCACGCGTCAGACTTGAAATGAGAGTCGAAGGGGCAACGGGCGAATGGAAAAGAGAAACACGTGGAGGAAGTTTCGAAAACGACTGCCAGCAATTCCGGGGGATGAAGGGAGGGGTGGGGAGGGGGAGAAAAAGAATAGCCCGAATCACATTTACCCGGCAGAGTGCGAAACTCTCAGCGAGAGCAAACAAACCGAGCCACGAGCAAACCGAAAAGGTCGAGGCTGCCGGCCTGGCGTTCTGTTTGCTCCCGCATCCTAACACACCCAACGCGCATACGTGGTCCTATTTGAGTAGAACTTGCCACCTCCTCGAGCACCCTTGTTCCACGCCAGTCGTGCGTAATTTCGACCAGTTCTTCCTAAGACGTTCGGAATATCTTTTCCCCCCAAACTCATTAACGCTTTGCCTGTGTTTTCGCGGTCATAATACAGTAGTTTCTCGATATTGCTCGCTGAGTCCTCCCTACCAGTTCCTTGGAAAATGTGTAAATTAAGTTTGAAAACCATCAAACTTATCAAACCAAATATAGGGACTGCGGTACAGTTTGTGAGATCCAAAGACACACGTGTCTTTGGTCGCCTCGGTTCTTTGTGTACGCAACTTTAGGCACACATGACTGACGGTGATAGAAAATTCCACGATCAGTCCCCGCCGAGACGACGACACAGGTCCGTGGAGCGTGATTGCCTGCAACGATGATTCCCTGTTCCGTCCTCGGCCCTTAGCCGCCAGCTACGGGAAAAACTCGCTGCGTCGACGGAATTAAGCCGCCCAAGGGGACGGGAGAGCACGAATAATTGAATGGTGTCTAGGATCAACAGCTGAGGAACACAAAAGGAGATTAAAGTTGCAATAGCTGCCGACTGCAGAGTCGTTCGTCTTTTATTTGCGACGATGCGATTAAAGGAGGAACGATGGAAATGAGAACGCTGATGCTACACGCTCGCGGCTCGATTCTTCGGAATTTTGGATTACGCTGGCATTATGGAAATTGTTCTTCGTCTCGTCATAAGGAGATACCTGTTTATTATATGAGTTTGGCGCTGTTGACGTCGAAAGAGGGGATAGATGGGGCGAGAGAAGCACTCCTCTGTCCCCTGTGTCGTCCCGCTAGCCAACTTCTCGAGGAAACACAGTACTTCTTACTGGACGTTATATATTACGTGGAAGTCGGAAACAGTCGGACTGGCAAGAAACGTGACATTTTAATTGCTTATCTACTGCCAGACCGTTCTCTAGCGTAAGCTAGATGGATATCACAAACGAAGATAGAAAATGTTGATCCACTGTCGGTCAATGTCCGACAGCTTGACGTATAAGCTGAATCAAACGCGAGATGCAATTGCAGGACAGCTATCTATATTTTTTTAATGCTGTGTGTTATATATCCATTTTATAGATATTAGTATCGCGTTTTCACGAATTGTTTGGAAGAAATATATAATAACAAATTTCAATAAATTCGACGAGGGCATTAAATTGTTACGACTCTGTTGTTGAGAAACACGGCTAGAAAATTCCGCTCTAAAGAAAAATCTGAACTTATTTCTGGGAGATTGACGTCTGGTAAATAATTTAAAATGGATTATGAAGTATCGTCGGAAAAAGGTGAAAGCAGAAACGTATGCAAGGCATAGAACGATACTTGGCGAAAGCCAAGACGTACGGCGCGGCGCGCGAAGGTGATAAATTATTAAATCGGTCGGATTTAATTCCCGAGAGCCGTTGAACGATGAAGGACCGTAGGGCAAATTAAATCCGACGGAAGAAGGGAGAACAAAGGAACAGGCTCGTGTTTAGACAGCAATGTAAGAGGTGCTAGGAGCATATTATTTCGGGGATAACGTCACGCCGGCGTGATGTATTGCGGCAATTTGAATTACACAGTTGCCGAGACTTTGAATTAACGCGCCATACTTTCGTGAATTGTTAGAATTGTATTCGCCGAAAGGGAATATAAGACCTCCAACGAGTTGGATGGATTCCGTTAACTAATACACAGTCGTGAACCGTTTGTTTCGAGCACGTTTAACGTTCCTAAAATGTCTGGAGTATTTAATCAACCGAGGGATGCATATTTTTGTACGATTCTTTGATATCGAAGAAGAATATCAGCGTTATAATTCTGCAGGAAGTTTGAGTATCTGTTGTAATAAACAATAAGTACT